AAAGGAAGGAAAGGAGAGGAAAGGAAAGAAAAGGAAAGGAGAAAACCGATACGGATCCTGGAGAACGGAGAGGAGAGCCCGTGAGAGAAACCAGATTCGTAGCGATGATCATCAACACGGAGATTCCAAACGGCAGCAACGCCCCGGCTCGGACGTTCTCGGGCTCGAAATTTGACAGCTCATGTTTGTGAATCTGGCTGGAGAGCAGAGCAGAGCAGAGCAGAGCACAAACGCACGGCGGAAATGAGATGACGGGGAGCGTCATGCAAAGGACGATTACGGAGTCGAGTGTCGCAAAGAAATCCGAGACCGGCTTACCGAGTACGTGGGCTGCACTCGAGATTGGAGGCGGCCGGGCGGCAGCGGCGATGATGGACCGATGTGCGCGCTCCGAGTGGCTCATACCTCCCGTTAGGCGGTCATCACGGTGATATGATGGATGCCTCTGTGGCCAGGACTTCTGTTAGGCCGTTAGGCCGTGTGGGTTCCGCCTCCAACTCGCGCCAGGCTCGGTTGAGGTTCCCAAGCGACCAAGCCCCAGTCGGGATAAGGTTATCGTGGTTATCTCACGCTGCCGCCGATCCCAAGAGGAGGGGTCCAGGCTCGTGCATGCAGGCCGAGATTACGTAAGTCGAGATGGGGGAGGGGCGACGGGCGACGGGCGACGGGCGACGGGACGATCGGTTTGCATGGAGGGGTAGGTATTGGTGTCGTAGGTATTTGGGATCTTGATGCCGGCGCCACCAATACTGGAGGGGCTGGCGGCGGGATTGGGGTGGTGCCTTGATTATTTTTTTATCCTCTGTACTGTTACTCCGTGTGGGTGTGGAATTGGTGATGTGTGATGTGTGATGTGTGATGGCTGATGGCTGATGGCTGATGGGAGGAGAGAGGGAGGAAAGCGATCAGAGCGAGCGTTGACACCGAATACGGTATTGGCATGTGAAGAAGGCAAAGCGTCCGTCTGGAGGCCCCATGTGACCAAGCTTGGGCTGCCCATCACTCGCCCGCCGGTGATCATTTGTGCTGGGAAGCTGAGTGAGGGTGTGAAGGAGAACAAGTACGAACTGTAAGGAGGTCTCAATTGCACCGCGCTGCTCCTGGAAATCCCGATGGGAATTATTGTGTGTGTGTGTGTTCTCATCTTTTGGGATTCGCGGGAGGGAAGGGCGGAAAGGGGTTGACGCCCGACTGAGACGTGGCGAACGTGATACGTGGACGTGATACGTAGACGTGGACATTGTACAGCCGCCATCATATCCCGAATGATACTACTTCTACGGTACAGTACTAAGTAGGTCTGGAAAGCGAATACCTCCCGACCATCCAGAGTATCCTCGGTCGTGTACCAAGTATACGTAGTACTTCGTATGACGATGACGACGGTGGGCCGGAGGGCAAGGATGCTGCCCCCCCACTTGGCTCAACTCAATTGCTTTGGAGGCCATGAGCGTCCCGCGGACAGCCGAAGCACGAACACGTGGAATGTGATCGGGTTCTTGTCGTTGTCTGTTGTTAAGTACTCTATTCCTTATCTGCTATTATCCGTGGTCGGGGCGGAAGTCTATTCTGGTGGGAGGATGGAGGATGATGCCTGGATGGAGGAAATGGATGGAACGACTCCATCGGTATGATCGACCGATTGATTGACCGATGGACGGATTGGCGGAGGGGATTGGCTGGCTGGCTCTTCCGCCCGTGACGTGCAGCCCAATGGAGGGCAGCCACACGACACCACCACGTCCACGACATGCTCACGGAGGGGGGTGCCGGCGCAGGGTGCACGAGGGGGCGAGGGGGGGGAGGGGGCGAGGGGGCGAGTGGGCTGGGGTTGGGGTTGGGGTTGGGGTTGGGGTTGATTTGGGCTGCCATGGACCGATCAGTCAGTTGAGTCAATGGAGTCGAGTCAATTGACTCAATTGACTGAATTGAGGAGAGCGAGTGGTAAAAGGCAGAGAGAGAGAGGAGAGGAGAGCTGAGGCACCCAGCCGGGCCGTGTCGGTGTCGGTGTCGGTGTCGGTGTCGGTGTCCGTGTCCTAGTGATTGATTGAATTGACATGGCCACCCCTCATTCCTCAGCGTACGACAGAGTCCAGAGTAAGAGAGTACGGTACCCCGCTCTCGTCGGTGAAGGGTGAAGGGTGGAGGGTGAATGAAGGCTTGATGCGATCGATGCCATCCATGCCATCCATGCCATCCATGCCCTCCATGCCCATGCCAGGTCCAGCCCGAAAGGCTACGAGGGGGATCTGATACCCGATGGGGAGAAGGTGCATCGGGACTAGACCCAAGTGGGGAGCGGGGCTTGGCATGTACGTTGTACCTTACTGCACGTACCGGTCGTGGGTGTACAGTAGTAGTACCTACTGGTACGGTACGGTACCTACTACCGTCCTGTACCTACGTGTGTCTCTCTTGCCTTCCGTTCCCGTCCTTTCCATCTCAGGCATTGCCAAGCTCCGATTGGGTGGGTGACTCATGCCCACACTCACAGTCACAGTCACACTCACACTCACACACTTCTCTCCCTCTCCCTCACCCTCTCACCCACTCCGCACTCTGCCGGCCCTTCCGTACAACCATTCGCCGCCGCCGCCGCCGCTCTGTCCTGTCTGAAGTTTGTCTGATCTGATCTGAAGTTTGCCTGCCTGCCTGCCCGCCTGCCTGCCTGCCTGCCTGCCTGCCTGTTGCTTCGTGCCCTACCCTGCCCTGCCCTGCCCCCCGTCCCCCCATGGATACTCAATTCATCCAATCCCGGACCTCCAGGTGCGAGGATGGTCCAGTCGGGTCGAGTCGAGTCGAGTCGAGTCGAGTCGAGTCGTCGAGTCGAATGGAGACGAGTGAAGCGTATCCATCCCCAGGCAAAGCTTTCCCGCGGCCCAATCATCTTTTTCCTTTTCCTGCTCTCCTCCTCTCCTCCGCTCGTTCATTGGCCAATCCGCTGTTCTCGTCCATTCCCATTCCAGGTCAGGTCAGGTCAGGTCAGGTCAGGTCAGGTCAGGTCGGGGTTAGGCGTGGAGAGCCAGAGCTGGCAGCCGCTTCAAACAAAAGAGGGAATCCCGTCTCAGCTGGGCACGCATCGCATTATATCGCCCCCCGCGCATTAACCGCGCGCTGCTTACCTTTATTTTGGATGATTTTTTTTTACCTTTCCTTCCTCAACCTACCGAGAAACGTTCGTCAGCCTGACTCAAGGCGGGCAGGCAGGAAGGCAGCTAACGAGCCAGCCAGCCAGCCAGCCAGCCAGCCAGCCAGCCCAACCCTCTCTGCGGTCTGGCTCTGCTGCTGCTTCGCTTCACGAGAGGATTGAAACGGGGCAGACCGAGCAAACAGACCGACAGACACACACACACACATAGGCAGACACCAACCGACCGGAATATCGCAGAGGTGGGTTGCAAGATCTAGGTCATACGGCGAGCGGGACTCGATATCACGAGGAGGCATCCACCATTGGCATCAGCGCCGCCACCGTCAGAGCCAGAGGGCCATATCAACAGTACCGATCTCCTGCTCCTCCTCCCCAGGCACCAGTCAAGTCAGTCGTCGGTCGTGGTAGTCGCAGGAGCCGTAGCCCTTCCCACCATTCATTCACCTTTCTTTCCCCACACTTGGTCACGACTGCGCTGGCCACCACCACCATTCACTTCACTACCGCGCTTACCCTGTCTCATCTTGCCTGCTGGCCTGCTGGCCTGCTGGCCACCCCCCTCCTCCATCCATACAGTACAATACCTACATCCATCCATCCATCCATCCATCCATCCCTCCCTCCTTCCTTCCTTCTGCCCCTCCCTCCCTCTCTCGGCTGCCTATTTATCTTCTTGCTCTCTCGCACTCTTCTTTCTCTTACTTTCTCACCTCTTCCACCACCATCACCATCACCATCACCATCACCACCCCTCGCCACCACCACCACCCCCGACATCAGCACCTCCTGCCCTCCGAAACGGTCTCGAACACCTCTTTCACCATTGTCTCGCGTCCTTCTTTCACCCATCAACAAACACGCCTCCCCGGAGAGCGCATGGAATTGACGGGAGTCCGGTGACGACAAAGGACCGACCGACCGACCGACTCAGCGGGGTCTTTTAGGATCCGATACAATCCACCTCTATCCTATATCTTCACGGCGCCGCTCAACCTCGCTCCACAGTCCGCGAGAACCTTCCGTCAATTCGTGTCTGCCTACGGACGGAGGAAGCTTCGATTCCCGTCCGACGATCGCTATAACTGGGTCACTCATTCGGGCCCGGCACAAGACCAACGGAGATGGATGACAGAGCCGCCCCGTCGAGCCTGCGCCCTTCCACCCCCTTCGATGACTCGCCCCCCGCGATTGCCTTCCATCCCCTGGCTCCGCGGCCATTGACGACCACCACCGCGCCCACCACCTCGCCCACCACCCCGCAACCCTTCCCCCCCAGCATCAATCGCCTGGTCAAGATGCGAGCAAACGCCCCGTTCGACGCCCGAGCCTCCATGCTCTCTCCCCCCGAGCAGACCCCGCTCGACACCTTCGCGCGGGCGACCACGAACCCCGCCGTGGAGTACCCCATGAAGCGCCCCGCGGCCCCAACCCCCACGGGCCGACTCGTGGGGCCCATCTCGCCGCCCACCTCGCCCGAGACGAAGGGGATCAGCCCGGACGACCCGCGGAAGCTCTCCCCCGCCCGAGACCCCATCCTCTACCCCGAGAACGGCGAGAGCCTCCCCTCCCAGCCTCCCCTCTTCGCCCCCTCGCGGCTGGTCGGCGAGCATATCAAGGCCCGAGAATCGAGCACCTTCCGAGAGATCTCGCCCCCTCGCGACAGCGATTACGAGCTGGCGCTCACCTTCAAGTCGCAGGTCATGCAAGCCTTCGACTCCAACCGGCGCCTGTGGCGGGATCGGGAGATGGCGCAGCTGGCGGCCGACAACCTGTTGCGGAACGGCGGACGCCGCTACACGGCCATTGCTCCAGCACACACCGGCAGCGTCCGACACGTCCGCCCAACCCCCAAGATCTCCACCAAGCCCGGCCCGGCCCACCGCGTAGCCAAGCCGCCGCGGGCGCCCAAGCCCGCTCCCGGCGGCCGGGGGGCGACGCCGACGGGCGACGTGGCCAAGCGGGTCGCGCGCGAGGACAAGGACTTCAACTCGCTCGAGGACTTTAGCCCGGACGTCGCGACCCTCCCCAACAAGCCCCATTCGCTCAAGGTGGATTGGAAGGGGGCGCCGATCGACCTCCGAGCCGACCCGCACGCCCACCTCCTGCACCCCGACGAGCTCCACCTCGCGGCCAACCTCCGTCTCGACTGCGCGACCTACCTCACGTCCAAGCGGCGAATCTTCATCAAGAGGATCGAGGCGTACCGCATCCACAAGGAGTTCCGGAAGACCGACGCCCAGCAGGCCTGCAAGATTGACGTGAACAAGGCGAGCAAGCTCTGGCAGGCCTTTGACAAGGTGGGCTGGCTGGACCCCAAGTACATTGAGAAGTACGCCTAAGGACCTGTTCCCCCCTTCCCCCCGCACTTTTTTGCCCATCTGCTTTTCGCCTCCCGCTCTTCCTCTCGGCTCCCGCTGGTCCCGAGTACGAGACGTATACGATATCACGACCTCTTTTGTGTGTTTTTCAGCCTGCGCCTCCTTTTTTCGACCTCACTGCATTGCGACGGTTGTGCGCACCACTCATCCCCATATCATGACGGCAGGTGAGGAGAAAGTCCTCGTTCCATCCGCATCCGGACACGTGCTCTCTACGTGGCAGTCAGATGCCGGGATCGGAACCTGGTGAGCCCGACGAATAATGGATACAGGTGAATGTGCGAGATGGACCTACATGTTGCGTTGCATTTTGCATTGGGCTGCTTGATACCCCGAGCCACCGCCCGGCTCCCCTCTCTCCCGTCTGGTGATCTGTCGAGGCAGCCCCGCGGGATTGGTTCCTTGGTTTTCCACTGATTTGGATTTTTTGCATTTTCGGGATGGGTTTTCTGGATGGGGCTCGGTCTGGTTGGCGTTTCTTGTTCCTGACGACGGTACGGGGGATCCGCCTGGCACGGCTGGATCAGGATGCATCGGATGGCGTGGCACGGGATTATTACGCATGATGCAGGCGCGGCATACAGATGGTTTGGCAAGGCTCAACGATGGATTCGTCGTTGTCGTCGCCGACGTGCGGCGGGACATCTTCTCTCGTCAGCGGCTCGGTCATTTAGGGTCTTCGGTTAGGTATGCGTTGGATTTAGAGGAGCTGCACGTCATCAATCCATGGCATCCGGAGCGTAGAGCTGCAGTAGATAGCCGATGTACATCTCACGTTGCGTTTTTTCGAGATTTTTACATTGAATCCACCTTTTGCCTCGCATTCACCTTTGACCTCGCATTCAGTTCCCCTGTCTCCGTCCTGGGCATGCATGGGATAGACCAAGAAGCCCTCCCGGTCTTTGAGTGCCGTGGGGAGTGGACTCGGCGACGGAAACGGGATGGGAAGAGGAAACAGAATTCAAGAATCAGTTGCGGATGCGTTGAGTCCCAACTAATACGGTCTCGGTGCCCGTCGTCCGTCGACACGCGTGAGTATAGTAGAATACAGGACAGTACAATCCGTCAATCCAGCCAGCAAGCAATCCGACCCTCTTTGTATGTCGTATGTTGTATGTTGTATGTTGTATTTTGGTATTAATTTTAATATATGTATATATATTATTGTTATTATTA